TTTTCATTAAGAATATTTATATATTTATACTCATCTAGAATTATTTTCAATGAGCACTAAATTTTTTATTCCAAAGGCAGCCCCTACTCCCGTGCACTAGTACAGCAGAAGGCAATAGGTTTCTTGACTTCAATTCTTAATTCGGTTTTGCAATACATTAACCCTCTGAGCACCATGATGATCTTTAGCCAGTCAAGAGATTTTTTGTCACTTGTTATATACTGGCTTATAATTTTTAAGATATTTTGCTTTCTTACTTTCATTAATAACATAAATGACATCTTGATAAATGTAAGTTTATGAAAATAGAGACTAAAATAGGTAAATATACATATTTAGCTAATAAAGGCTCTTTAAATACACAGTGGTGACCAAAATTGTGGACACTTTTGGAAATTTTTATGTTTTGAACTTTGTATGCTTATTGAACTTTGTATGCTTATAGAAAACATTACTTTTTACAAAATGCAAACTTGTATATATCATTTTAAAGAGAATTTATTACTGAATTCAATACAAAACACAAAATTCAATTATTTGCACTACAAAAAAATTAAACGATAATAGTTATCGATATACATTAGATAGTGATGATTGCAGTGAGTTATCAGTACTTAGTAGGATACCCTTTATTTTTTATTACAGCTTCACATCGACGTTTCATTGAGCTTACAAGAGTTTTAAGCTCTTCTTTCGTTTTGACATGATGCCAGGAAACAATTATAGCCTCAATTAGTGCCCTTTTATTTGATGGGCACCTCATTCGGACAAGAGTTTTCAAACGGTGCCACAAATTTTCGATAGGCTTGAGATCAGGACTGTTTCCTGGCCATGACAACAATTTAATGCTCTTTTTATGAAACTACTCTTTTGATATTTTGGCCGTGTGGCAAGGAGCAGAATCCTGCTGAAAAATAAACGAAGCATTGTTGGGAAAGAGATCTCTGATGGAAGGTAGAAGTTTTGGTTCTACAATAGTGTCAATGTATTTTCTGGTTCAGTGTCCCATCGATGACATGAAGGCGACCAATACATCTGCGCCATGCATGACCAAAAGTAACACTTACTGGGTTCTTCCCAGTTGCTTACTGCAGTCAGGATGTAGCTCTTCTCCTATTCTACGTCTTACATATTTTCGCCCATCACTACCGAATAACGATATCTTAGTTTCATCACTCCATATAACTTGTGACCACTGATCATCTGTCTAATTAATATGTTCCTTTGCCCACTGTAGTCTTTTGTTTCATTGCTGAAAATTAAGATAAGGCTTTTTTCGTGGAATTCTACCTCTCAGTCCAACATCTGTTAATCTTCTCCTGATTTTTCTTGACAGAAATACCAGCATCATTCAGATCACTTCTGATGGCTGCTGATGACATTTTTCTATCTTGGAGACACGGTCTTTTTATTCTTCCGTCATCAATAGATGTGCACCTTTTTCGGCTTTTTTCTTCTTTGTTTTTTATTGAATTTGTCTCCTGATATCGTAAACAAAACTTTCGGACTCCAGATGTAGTCACTGAACCACCCACTGTCTTGAAATTTCAGCATAGGAAAGACCACTTTCTCGTAACACAATAAAATTACATCTTTCTGGGTATCCAATCCACTCTTTTATTTGATGTCATTGCTTCTTGACTAAATATTAAAAACTGTCACAAAAATTCCTACTTGTAATTGAAGTGTATAAGAAACAGGTCCTCCTTCTACAGAACAAAGCAAAATAATGAATTGTTTGAAGTGTAAGCATGATGTCAGCTTCTACTGGCAGTTACTAACATTTGATTGGTTCTCAGAACAAGAACAGTGATTGGCCAGGAAAGCTAGACATTACAAACCACTTCATAACTGTTTTTTATTTATATTAAAGTACATATAACTTTTTTTTGTATTGCAAATAATTGAATTTTGTGTTTTGTACTGAATTCAGTGCGCCACTGCAGGTCTTCATGACAGATCCAAATACCCGGGCTGCTCAGAGGGTTAATTTGTCTGCCTGATTTAAATATATTAAATTTTGACGTTTTTGAAAATATAGCACTGCTTCAATATAATAAAACTTTGCTTACTGTGGATTTTCCAACCGCCAGGTGTATTTTCCTTGTTTTCTTCTTGACAAAGAATTTTTTTCCCTGATCACCCACTAATATGCCCTAAATGATTCTCCTAAAAGCTTCAGAATTAACACTTACTGCAAAGCCTTCTTATAAATCTGCTGAACATTTTACAATACTAATTTTTGACTCTTGTTTGATTTTTCAAGGAATAAACCTGTGATTTCTTGGTGTTAGCTTGGAATATAATCCAGACTTCAATACATTTTCATAGCTGAATGCAATTTCCATCATTTTAATAACATAAAGACAATGAAATGCTTTACATGAAGGACTTCTGTGGTATTTTGAATACTTCTATTATCTTTAAAAAGAAGAATTATTAAATTTCTAATGAAATTGATCGTAGCAACTCCTCATGTTCCCTTCATATACAGAAATAATCATGTACTTTTCTAAACAAGTAATGATTTTCAAAATGCAGATGAAAATTCTTGTGATGCACAGGGGCTCCCAAAAGTGTTCGTACACTTCAAGAATATGTAGGAAAAGTACTTTAGCCTGGAGCTCAAGTCAAATATAAAGCCCAATATTTTTTCATATCATCTCCATGTGATTTTGAATAAAACTAAACTTCTTTCTAACACTGATTTATGTCCTTTTTCTACAGCTGAAAAATACAAGGAGATATAGATAAAACACATCACAAAAGTGATCATACACCAAAAGACTTTTGTAAAACTTCATAAATAATATCATCCGCTACTTTTTTTTATATTTTATTTTCACATTTTGATGGTGTTTAAAACTTTGCTTGGCTTTATTCTTTGCTGCCTTACTTCGTTATATTTTATTTAATATTTAAAAATCGGGCATAGTCCTAAGGAAATAACAAATATTCAAAAATTTATCATTTTTCATTATAAGGGTGGAAAATCGATCTGAGATATCGCTAAATTAGTAAATTTATCTAATTCTGTTGTGCAGTATGTGATAAAACCCTTTAAAGAAGAAAATTGGATTGAAAATAAAGTACGAAGAGGGTCTTCTGGCAAAGTTAACATTATCAGAGATTTATAGTTAGAAAATTTGTGAAAAATCTATGCACGAGTGCTTTAAAGATGTTTTCAGAATTTACTGAACATTAGTCTGCTTCAATTTTACCCGAGACTGTTTGACAAGTACTCAGATCATCTGTATTACATGGGGTCTCAAAGAAAATGTTCTGTAAGTGCAAAAAATAGGAAGCTCTTTCTTTCCTTTGCAAAATCAATGGTAAATAAGCTTCAAGCATATTGGAACCATATTTTATTTGGAGATGAAAGCAAATTTAGCATTTTTGGTTCCGATGGGCATATAACTGTACAGAGAAGAAAAAATGTGGAACTTAAGTCAAGAACTTGAACAGTAAAGTATAGCAGTGGAGGTGTCCTTGTGTGCGGGTGCCCATCAGCATCAGGATCAAGTAATTTAGCATTTATTGATGGCATAATGCAATTTTATTTAAATATTTTAAAAGATAATTTAAAATTATCTGCCCAAAATTGGGATATTGGAATGATAATCCTAAGCACATGGCTCTCAATGTTTGTTTTTGCTGCATTTAGAAATGTCCACACCTGTGTTCCTAATTAAAATACCACCTCAATCAATAGATTAAAATCCAATAGAAGCATTTGGAGAGAAAGGTTAGAGTACGAAGACACAATATAAAAACAAGAACTGAACAAAACAGAAGCGATAGAAGAATGGAGGAACATTGATGCAGACATTAACAAAAAAAAAATGCTGAACTCTTTGACCAGGCATCTGAAAGCTGTCATAAATGTTGCGAGATAGACTATAAAATACTAAGTAACAGAAAGATTACAATATCTACTAATATGAGCAGATTTCTTTAAATTGTATGAAGACTTTTGTGAGGTCTCTTTTCTTTTACTTTCTGATTACTTATTTTCGGAAAAAAAAAAAAAAAAACTTTAACTATCTTCATGAAAATAAATAATGAATTTTTGCTAAGAGAAATTTCTATATATTATTAAAAAATTCTCATTCTCAAATATCTCTAATTTTTATTAATGAATAAAGCAATATTTTACTGAAACCGATAAGTATACTTTCGAAATCCACCATGTTTTCATCCAAAATAAAAAAATTAGAGCAATGAATACTATTAACCAAAACATCTCAACAAAAATACGAAGTGCTTGAATTATTACAGGAGTTACTAATTAACACGTTTTTAACAAATTATTTGATGGCAAGGAATATTTTGAGGATACTTATTTTACGATAAACAAGGCATAAAATAGAGAAAAAAATAATATATACTGAAAAATTTTGAAGTCTGTAATTCAATATCAATATTTAGTACAAGATCTGCGCAAATAAAGGTACTGTTCAGTTATCAGACCCGGATCCAGAAATGTATGTTCGTATGCATGCATATATGGAAGTAGGAATGTATGTGTTTGTGTTGCACATACAATACATACACATGCGCACACATTCCTGAATCCGGTTTGCATTTCAGTATGCACACTATTCCGATATATGTAGATTGAATGATGGATGTACAATTTGGAAGAAAGAATAATATTGCTATGTGTGTGTGTGTATACATATACATGTATATGCACAAACATACATACACATGTGCATACATTTTTTAATCCGATCCCGATAACAGAACAGTACCCAAGTGAATTTTAAAAACATAAGTGTCGGAAAACAAATGTGATCCACTGTATTTCATTCAACAAATTTTATAAACCACAGTTTCGACTAAAATTTTCACAATGCTCACTGCCGGTTATTTAAGTTTTCTCATATTTTCGGAAGTACCAATCAGTAGATTCCTCAGATACATGAGAAAACTCTTTTATATGCAGGAGTACAGATTCATATATTTTTGTATTCATACAAGTAGTAAAATTTACGAACCTATAATAATTAAGACGGTCAAATTACACAATAAAACGGTTTCCTGGTGCACCTCTATACGAGTATTTTGTGCCCTCTCATTGTAAGAGTAAATCACAGAGTCTAATATAGAAGGTGAAACTGGTAGTAGAAAACGGGTTCAAAAATGTCGCGATCACTAGATGCCGCTACTGTTGCATCTGAGAGCCTCCTTCAGTCGCCAGACGGCTAAGCTTCCTAACGATTGAAGAAATGTAAAATTAATTTACAGCTTTCATGCTGTAAGGCTTGTAGTACTTTTTATAATGATAAATTTGAAGATATTTTCCAGTCCCACTCCTTAGAAATGTAATTAAGAAAGTATTATTACTAGTAATCATATTACTAGTGATAATACTTACTGCATATATGTTAAATTTAATTAGAATAGGTTCTTTGCATCTCTCATTTTGTAAAATGCTTAGATATACAGCTTGATATAAACAGTGGAGAAATTTTAATGAAGCTTATAGAACTTTTTGCTTCAATCAGTAAATTTTCTTTACTGTCATAATAAGTTATTCTTTTTTATGAATCATATGTCAGTTTTGATTTTGATATTTTTATCGTTTTCTGTTAAAATTTCCATATCTTTATTTGAGAAGATCTGAATTATGTTTCAAATTGATTTGACAAGATTTTAAAATAGAAATCAGATTTGAATTCAGTTAAGCATTCTGAACATTATATTATTCATAGTTAAATATAAAGAGTAAAAAACAAAAAAATATATATATTGAAACTAATTCAATCTATTTTTAATTTTGTCCTGTTTGAACTAACTTCTAACCAATAAATGCAGTATTTTAACTTTAAAAAAAATAATAATACAGTTCTTTTGTATTTTAAAGGTAGATGTGACAAACTCTTTTACTCCAAAGGATATGTATGCAGACATTAAGCTGTTATCCATGGTTAAATTATATATTACCTACAATAGTGGTTTTCTTGTTTCCTCGAAATTAAATGGAGTTAATAAGTTTTGAATGTAAATCATCCTATCCCATTCAATAGCCTAAAAGACGAATTTCTTATGTTTGGAAATATTTACAAATAAACCTGTGTTTAGAAAAATTTACAAACAATCAAAACTTTAAAAAAATGTGCAAAAACTTAACAGCGAGATGATATTTTCTCGCTGTTAAGTTTTAAATTGGTACATGTAGCTTTTTTGAAAAAGTGCTTTGCATGTGTTATCTTTTACTCGAAAATATCCCCTACTTTTTATTTTCATTTATTGAGCTGTTTATTTACTAACAGAGTCTAATTACATTCGTTGCAAAACTACCAGTTTAGTATCAGAATACCTAATATATGCTTGCTGCGGTATTTAAAAAAGTATCATTATCTATGTAAAACTAAAGTCCATTTTCTCTTGCAGTAATTATTTATTTTTTTATTCTTAATTTAATATCTCTTTTTCAAAGATTAAAGACTCGCAGTGAAAGAAACAAGTTCAATTAAGTAACAAAAATTTAATAAAAATGTAACAGTAATTATATATATAATCCTGAAACAATCTTAACAGTATTATTTTATATTGTTGCACACAGGAATGAGCTATAGGAGGCTAGAGTGACACCTTTGTTAAATTTGTGTTCAATTTGCAAGCGCCTTCTTCTTTCCCACCAGCAGTTGAGCAGCAAAAAACGCCGAACGCTTCCAGTTCGGTTCTGGGTTCGAATCCGGGCAACAGGCTAGCTGCATGGGCATTTTCCTGGTTTTTCCATATGAAACATATATACAAGCCAGTTTCCCTTAGAAATACCCTTAGGCAGATAGCCTGCAAGTTCTTTGGTGTAATTAAATAAATCAAACCAAACCCTTTCTTTTTGTTTGTGGCTTAGAAGGTACTGCTGCTGAATGTATACATGTCTATATATAAGTTCGAACTCATATGGAAAACTATTTTAAAAACCATTTAATTGCAAAATAATCTGAACTTTTTTACGTGACTTTGACGCAAATTTAATATTTAATGATTAAAATTTAATTTGAAAATTGTAATGGCAAATTAAAATTTTATTGCCGGCATGTAACGCTTCAATAGTTCTACACATTCTAATTTAAAATCCCTGTGCATAATGGTTCTCACCCTGCACTGTACCAAGATTTAAATCTTAATTTTTAATAAATTGGCATGATTTCATAATATTCATAACTTATTTAATACGCTGAATTTCTCTCATGGAAAATCAATTTTTCATTACACTTATCTGCTGTTATGCTTTTACTCAACCATGCAAGTAAAGTTAATTTTAAGCAGTATAGTGTTCATTTCCATTTATTATAAAAACCTACTTGAAACGGAAAAGAAGGCGGGAATGAGTTTATCTTCTTTTGTGTAAATGAAATAAAAAGGCAAACATTCTATCATTTTTGTATAATTTCAGAAATTTATTTAATTTTAAAATCTCACGATTGCCTGCTTTCATGCACGAAATGCAGATGCACATAAATTATGTGAAATATTTAACTAATTTCCAATTTATGACTTTTTAAATATCCTCTTATTTACTAACAATCCAGACGTTATGTAAAGTTATATAAATTTATCTGACTGTGATCAGGCATGATATAAATGTTGCTCCCCTTTGGAGCTCTAAATCTACTTAGTTTCTTGATTCTCAAGCTTTAATTCTTCTGCCTAACGGTTGTATAGCCTGCGTTGCATCCAGGAACGAAAGTTTCATTGTAAGACTTATTCATAATGGAAATTGATATCAAATCAATATTTTCGGGACTGCTATGTCAAATACTACGACAAGACCAACCACTGGTGATTGCAGCGCCCTCTATAAATAATGCGACAAAAAGTGGACCATTTTTGGGAAAAGTGGTAATACCAGTTTCAATTCCTTCATTATACTCCGTGGAGTAAATACAGAAAAAATAAAGGGAAAAAAAAGAAAAAAACGTACCGATGATACGCACACAATGTTACGAAAGTTTATAAAGGAAAAAGGCTTGTCATAAGTAAGAGCACTTGAATTATTAATCTTTGATCATACCAAAGTCTACAGCAGAACAACAAAACTGAAGAGATCTAGTTTTTAGTTCCTAGCCGAATGTACCACACATTCGTGGCGTGTTCCAGATCGGTTGAGATGGTGCAAGGCCAACTAGATATCTGCTAGGTATATCTTAGGTATATCTAGTTGGCCTTGGATGGTGCCCCTTGGGCTGATGACAGTGAATTTTACTGAAATAAATCTCTAAACAGAGAAGCATTCGTTGTACAAAAGAAAACATATATATTGCAGATCTAAGCAATAATAACATTTATTCATAAGTGCATTAAATATACAATTACATATACTAAACGGAGAAGCATTCGTTGTACAAAAGAAAACACATCCAAACTGACTCTGTGGTTTTACCACTCGCGGCTACATCTTATAACGACACTGAACTTGACACCCCCCTTTTTTCGCCACCGCTAGTGCGGACTTCACTCTCTTTCATCCGCCTCCCACACTCCTTTCACCCTTCTTTTTTTCCTCCCACCCGATCTTTATCAGAAGTCGAGTAAAACGATGTTTCTACATCTTGACACTCGAGAATAAAATACGATCTGTGTGTGTGTGTAAGAAAACACATATATTGCAGGTCTAAGCAATAATAACATTTCTTCACAAGTGCATTAACCTTTTCACGTGGGCTCGAAAATTAGTTGTGTTCCTTCACTGGGGGCTCTTCGCTCAGCGGTTAGGGAAAGGGGGTAAAATTTTTCAGATCTTAACAACGAGATGATTAGTGCTCTTTTGTTGGCAGGCAGAGAAGCGGTCAGCATTTCTTTTCGGTCCAGTTCCAAAGTTCTAGGCGATAGAATGAAGGAAGTATTTTAATCGCTTTCACATTGCAGATAGATGTATGCAGTTTCCCACGAAACATAATTTATTGCTTTATTTTCAGATGAAATGTTTTATGCTACAACTATACAATTTTGTTCCTTTTTTGGTTAAAATAACTTTTTAAAATTGCACATAGGTTATATACTGAAAAATCAGCGAAGTAATCAGAGTTACCTATGTTGACTTGTCACAGTATAGAGAATTTAGTGATTTAAAATATTCAAACATATCTTTCAAACAATATATAGATTTTCATTTTAATTATTATAATTATCCTGATATTGAAGAGCAAGTTAAATACAGTTTAATTATTACAAGTGTCATTTAGAAAGCATTTCGAGTTCCCAAATGAGTGTTATTGGATTTACACTTCTGTTAAAATTCTTTCTGGAGAAAGAAATTGGTAACCGCGTTTGTGCTGCATTGAATCATTATTGAACAACACTAACAAACATGCACTAACAAAAATTTACCAATTTACCACTAGGTAAGAATTTTTTTAAATAAATTTTTCTTCCATGTGACGTTGCAAAAAGCGTTCCCAGGCCTGATCTGCCTTCATATCAGGGATATAAGATCTTTAATTTTTTTAACCGCTTCACAGTTTTTTGGTTCGGTAAAGAAATGCAGAGCAACGCTGGAGGTTGAGAAAATAATATTGAATTATTATTGAATACATTGAAACTCAACAAGTTTCAATGTATTCAATAACAAAAATTTAGGTTTACCACTTAGAGATATTGTATATTGCTTTTACCTTAGAATAGAAGGGAAATAGTTGTTCGTCTATTCAGATTGTTGCTGCATTTTTTCTTTAAAAGCAAAATTGCATATTCAGGAACGCATTAAAATTTTAAAAAATAAAGATTTTTGTCGAATAAAGAAATATTTCTTCAGTTTTTTATGATCTACATTTTCAGAATGCTAAAATCGACTTTGAGGTATCAGATTGTTATGCGAAATTTTCAGATCTCAAGCTTTTACTGTTGCTTTCTTTCGGAGTAATGAAGCTCGGAATGAAGATTCGTACTGATTTGATGAATATTAATAAAGAATCGTACTGAGGATTAAATTCAGAGAACTAAAAAATAGTACACATCTCAATTACTCTATACATCCTTAGTATCCTAATATATCGTTTGATTCCCTCCAAAATACAATTCTCACGTAAAAATTAATTAATTTCTGAACACTACCTGAGACTGAGTGGTCAAGACTGCTGAATACTGGTAGTTCGACTTGGGTTCGAGGCCAGGCGATTGGGTTGGCTGCATGGTTGATT